AATAACAACAAAGGGGAGAGCTCATTAAATTATACTTTATTATATTTTATACTATATTAGATTAAACAAAGCCGAAGCAGTTACGCTATTCTCAATAAATTCGGAAAAAACAAAAACATACCAAATTCAACAAAAATTAGAATTTTCAATACTAATGTTAAATCTGTCCTACTATATGGATCTGAGACAGGGCACGACAATAAAAATAACGTGAAAAAACTTCGCAATAACAACTGTTTAAGAAGAATCTTGCGTATCCATTGGTTTCATAAAATTTGTATTGTAGAAATCCTTGGAAAAGCAAAACAGAAACCAATTGATCAGAAAATTAAGAAACGTAAATAGAAATGGATTGGTTATGCTCTACGTGAAACTGAAAAATTTAAAGTAAAACTAGTTTTTGATTGGAACCCTCAGGGCTATAGAAAAAGAGGAAGGCCCAAAAATACTTACCGCAGGATGACTATAAACGAATTAAAAACAATAGGAAAGATTTGGAGAGAGGAAAAAATATCTGGTCACAAATAGAGTGAGATAGAAAGCTATGATAGAAGCCCTATCCTCGGAGTGAAAAGGAATATGTATGTGTGTAGGATTTCATGAAAGGAAGGAAATTTAAAAGCTAGGAAATATTATGTTGGCATCACAAGTATAGAGCAATACTGTTCATTTAAATCAATTAGGCTTTGGATGAAATATGTAATTAAATATGACTACAAAAGTTTAGAAAAGTTAAACCGTTTAATTAAAAAAAAAACTATTTTGACGGCCGATTAGATGTAAAGATATCTATCACAGCTTGAACTGCAAAAAAAAAAATGCTATTTCTTTTTAATTATTTTTATCGATGGAGAAAAATTATAGTTAGCAAATAGGAAGATTCGAAATGTATCAGTATCCTCGATGTCAATGCAGTGACCTATATCAATAAAAAGTATACATTTCAACTTTGAAAATCATTTAAAATCATTTTCAACATTTATAAAAGCAGTGTCATTAGCACGAAAGACTAAAAATTCTGAAGCAGTCTGCTGCAATTGAATTAATGAATTACATCTTCTATTATTCGAAGAAATATTTTAAGAACACACGTGGGAAATATAAACTGATAATAAATAAGCTCTGATTGAGCTTTAATTATAGTAAGAAATAAAAGTTAATATCTTTAGTGATAATCAGGCATTTTTAGGAAGGCGTACCAAGGGAGAATGAATCATTAGATCTTAAGTGGAAATTTGAAGTTAGAAAAGAAAGATTTTTCTTTTTAGAGTAGTCATTCCTGACCATTTATATCTACGGTCTTCATTTAACCGTGTCCCGACAGAATAGTTGGAAAAGCCTTTCTCTCGAATATATTATTCATGTCACTTAGCTGTTAACTTAATGCTAAGGTGAAAGCAATTTTTTTTAATCTCTCCCATTTTCAAAACCTTTTATCATTTGCTTTTGTTCTATACATCTCGGCGCCTACCATTCAATAAAAATTTAATTAATTTCTTTTTTCATTATTCATGCTCGACTTCGAATTATTCTTTCATTCTTTTCTTATATAGGCTTCCAATTGTTTTGCTTTTTTTTTCTTTCTTTCTTTCTTTAGCTTTTATTTTTCATTACAACGATAATTCAGTTTCCAATCTTTATACAACAAGAAAATATAGCGTGATAAAGACAATTTTTTTTGTACATAAATGACAACGAACGGTGAATAAAAGAATCGAGGGGGAGTGTTTTGCAATTTAAAGCATTTGTTCGAAAAAGCAGTGTTTGTTTTTTTTGTTTTTTTTAGCGCTTCGTTGGAAGAAATTCAATGGCTCGTAATGCAAAATTGGTTGAAAAGATTATAATAGAAAGTATTTTAAAATCGTCAAATTCACAATAAAATTTAAGATTAAGTAGGAATATATCTGTGGAATAATGTCTGATCCATTTTATTAATATATTGATGGATTTAATTGATTCTCATTAGGAAAGAAAGTTTTATTTTAGTTGAATGTTTTAACTTGATTTAAGCAAATCCCTTACAAACACTTAAAAAAATGAATTTTTTTACAACTTTTCTTTTCAATCTCCTTTTTTTTCTATAAATGTAAACTAATGCGTATATTTTTCAGCTTTTTTTTATTCCGTTTTTTAAAAAATATTTTTGCTCTATTGCAAAAGCACGTTAGAACATATATCAAATTAGTATTATTTTTAAGGGACATATTTCGCTTCATAAACAAACAACAGTTAATCGATATCTTGTAAGCTTGTAAATAGTTTTGCAATGTATTAAATTGGAATCAAAATGGAAAGTATTAAATTAGAATCAAAATGGCATGTATTAAATTGGTATCAAAATGGAATGTATCAAATTGGAATCAAAAGGGAAAGTATTAAATTAAAATCAAAATGGAATGTATTAAATTGGAATCAAAATGGAAAGTATTAAATTGGAATCAAAATGAAATTTATTACACTGAAATCGAAATGGAATATACTAAATTGGAATTATAATATACGGTTTTAAAAAACTTACACCTTAAAAGAAATGTACTATAATATGAATTTAGAAATCACACAATTTATTTTATAAATAAATTGTGTGATTTATATTATTGTGTGATTAAAACTTATAAATAAAATGGTCCACCCCTTCTCGCTTCATTCGCTAGTCCCCACAATTGCTACAATCATAATTATTTCTTGACGGCGAAAAGAAAAATACATTATTAAAAGGAATTCAAATGAAAGATACCAACTAGTTTTATTGTTTCTTTATTGAAATTAAAATCTTTTCACCAAGTTGCTTAAATAATTGCACCTACCACACGGGGAGGGGGGGGGCAGAAACTTAAGTAAATGATTCTAAGTAGGAAATGTAATTTTAATATCGGACAAAAGCCTTTTTCTTATAGATTTCAAATTACTAACTGCGTTATCTGTTTTAAGATAGATTAAACAGAATCTTTTTTTATTCATTCTAACTGAGGTCAAGTGTCGTAGGGGTAGAGACAAAAAGATTTTAATCATTTTCATTTAATTTTCACAAATGACCTGCTGATGGATATTTATTTACTATATTTGGCATTATCTTTTGAAATATTTTAAATACAAGACAGTCATCCAATCATAATTTCAGATAATATAATGTGTGCTGTATTAGAGATTCCTTTTTTTTCTGACAAAACCATTCAAATATAATTTTTTTTTTAGTCCTAATGGCTCAGGGGATAGAGCGTTTGCCTTCCAATGAGGTGAACAAGGTTCGAACCCCCAGCGATGGCTGGTCGGAATGAATCCGGCCTGCACTGACCACAGTGCTGACGTGAAATATCCTCAGTGGTAGACGGATCATAGGCTAGAGTCCCTTTGCCGTTAGGCTAACCGTGAGAGGTTTTCGTGGTCTTCCTCTGCCTGTAACGCAAATACCGGTTAGTTCCATCAAAAAGTCCTTCACAAAGAGCAATTTCTCCCAATACTTGATCCGAGAGTTCCCTTGTCCTCTGGATTAGGTTCAAAATTACAAGGTTACGGAGTTGAGCATTAGTAGTTGTAAACCCAAATAATTGGGTCGGCTGTTCAACGACGGTTATAAAATAAGATTTAAACTATAATTTTTGCAATTAGCGTTTTTTTAAAAGTAGTTTAGCATTATATATTTGTTTGCTTTTAAGGTATTGATAAATATGCTTGTTTTTGAGTAATTTACGTTAAAAAAAATTTTAGCAGCCTGTTTAAATTGTAATAAAATTTAATTTTTAAAAATCTAAAAACAGGCAAATGTGCAGAATTAAATCTCTTACTCAAATATTGAAATCACATCCCTTTCTTGCTTTAAATTTTAGAGAAAAAAATCTAAAGATGCTATAAAAATTATCAAGCACTATTTCTCCTAATGCAATAAAGTGACTCCTATATTTTATATTTTTAAGAAAGGTTATTGCTTATATTGTACGACACTCTATCATCAAACGTGCAAAAAAACATCAAAAATTTCACCTAAAATACAAGATGCTGCGAGAAAACACCTCTTAAGTGTGTTTTTAGAAGTTTCAATTTCGTAATTCGTATCGAGAGCAGAAGGAATCAATTAACTGATTTCTCGACAAAACCTTCAAAAACATACTCTATAGTTACTGGCAGTACTCTGTACTTATTTCCACAGGTTTAATGGGAATTCTTGTTGGTTGTCAGAAATATACCATCAAAAAAAAATTTTTTTGTTTTTTTTTTTTGTTTTTTTAATGTTGGACCATCAAAAATCAGTTCCAATTCCTACATTGGGATGATTGTGCTTTATGATCATTCCAACATTTGATTTCTAAAAAATTATGATGGAAATTTCTGATGGTTCAAAATTAACAAACCATCAAAAATTTTGACTTGGGTTGTGACACATTTCGTATCTCCCTCCATTGCACATTTTATGTTACTACTAAACTACTAAATTGACTACGTCTGACTACTAAATTGATCCATGCAGAGGCCTTCCCTTTTCTAGAAGGTCTTGGTTCAAAACCCACGAAGATTACCTTCTAAGAAAGGGAAATCTATTATTTATGTGTCCATCTTGTGACAAATCTAAATTCCATTTTAAGTTGATTTTAAGCTTTGTTTACATCATTTTAAAATTTATTAGGTATAAGGATTCCAAACATAAGCATAAGTTCCCGACATGAAGTTCCCAGTATCCATTATTGTAACTAATAAACGTTTTCCATTCTGGTGTTTCTCTTCTTCTTCCTGTTAGCCTCTGCAAGATAAATGCATGGACCTTCTTACAAATTTTTAATCTGATGATAGAAAAATTGGAATTATTAAAATTCCTAGAGATGCCCATATTTGGGTCATTTATCTTATATATTTGAAACTTTAATTGTAGGCTGAAGTAACTAATTAGAATGGGTAAAATATGCTCTTGACTAAAACTGAAACCCTGATAGTTTGATTAGAAGGAATTTAATGTGATAAATTGTTTGACTCCCGGTATATTATTGAATCTTTTAATATTTATCTAGATGCAGCATTGGGGTCTAATTCCAAGTCCTTTGACCAATTATGCACCTTCAAGTGGAAGTGACACGCCGCTTAACCTCAGTAAGCCAAAAAATAGGTGAGTTCTTAAAGATGCGAATTAAATTTACATAGTGTTCCTTATTGATTTCCTTAAATCTATATTTTTCCAATCTATCTAAGAAAAAACATCATTAATGATCGAAAATAAATTTTTATACGGGAAATATACAAACGTGGCAAGCAGCAAAAACTGTAGGCCATGTTGCTATTAACTGGACCCTACACTATTAATAATAACTAATATACATCTGCATGCAAATAAACTTTTTATTATTTTTATCTTTTTATATTATTGTAAATTGCATATCATATATAATTGCTCTGAATAGAAGGCTTGAATGTATTAACATGTATGACAGTTTCATCAGGGTAACCTTACCATGCAATCAGTGCAAGAGCAGTTTCTGCAGACCATTGGCAAAATACCACAAACAGTAATACACCTATGATCGTCTTCAGAAAAAGTAACAAAAATTAAGAATAATGTCAAAGGAATCCTATATAACGAAACTCAGATAGTCGAAGCAGAAATATATAAATTCAAAGGGAAGGAAACTCGATCAGAAATCGCAGGTTCGAGAAATGAGATAGGTTATGAATAAGCCAGTTAAAAATTCATTATGTGTGAAATAGTGAAGTGAAATCAATCTTTAATTTAAATTAAGTCCGAAATAAAACCGAAAGTCACAAGTTCGGGAAGAAAGTTCAGCATCTAATTATAATTTACTCTACAATAACATGAATAATTCAAATATGTATATGGAAGTTACTTCAAGTGTCACACGAGCGAGTGAGTTTTTTTTTAATTAGCAGTTCTAGCGGTCATATTCTTTAAGGGTTATTTAAATATACTTGTATTTGACTCTTCCCAAGACAAAATTCCAGATGGTCCCATCAAAACATTTTGATGGTTTATGTTGGTTTCAGTGCTATTCATGATGAAAAATACTACTTTAATACGACGATGATTAACCATCAAAAGAAGTTTGACTTTCATGGACCAACAATCCGTGATGGTTCATGATAGTTCCAACTATACACTTCATGATGGCTTAAGGGAAGTTTTTCTTGGAATATACCATCAAAATAGTTTTCTTTTATATTGAATTATCATAAATCAGTCCGAATTCCTACATTGGGATGATGTTTGTTCATGATCGTTCCAATATTTGATTTCTAAGATACTATGATGAATATTCGTGATGGTTTAACATGAACAAAGCATCAAAACAAGTTGCTATTTTTATGTGGGACGAATCAATCCGAATTCCTACATTGAGGTGATGGTTACTTATGTTAGTTACCATCAAAAAATATAATGGTTCATGATGGTTACCATCAAGATTATGTTAGTCCATCAATAAAAAACCATTAAAAACTTTGACTTGGGTAAAATATTCTTATTATACTCGAATAGTTCGTCCAAAAAGACTCCAAATTTATCGATAGAAAGCGTCATTTCGTAAAACCCTTAGAAAATAATGCAAACAGGTTTCTGCAACCTTACTAATACTTAAACCCTCCAGGATCGTAATCTCATATACGTGATTCTCCCTTCATGCCCCACTGTATCATTTATGAGACGAATCTTTCCTACTACCGCGCCACACAGAAGTGATTTCAGTTTGGTACTTTCGTATAACATCTCGTATTAGTAAATACTCGGAGGCTCTGAGAGAGCCTGGAAAAGAACTTTTCTGCTTTTCCGATCTAGAACGGGTTAAAGGTTAGCATATGAAGCAGCCAAATGTTATATCATAACATTTTGTCTATTCTAGTTCTCAAGCTCTGGATTCTGCATCTACTGCTCCAGTTTTTACATCATCCCATTCAGTAGTGTCTTTAGCAGGCTCGACAGTAGCTGGACTTTTACCACCTTCCTATCCCGTAAGTTTATTCTGCTAATTTAAAGCAAAAAATAAAATGAGAGCACATTTTCTGAGAATCTCTTCTTTTTATAGATGGCACAATCATTCCTGGCAAATCCATTCTTTCAAGCAAGAGGCAATAGTCATTTAGTAGCTCATCCTGCTGCTTTATCTGTTGGTAAGAATGTTTATGATTAGTTTTCAAATATAACTTCTGATAAAAATAGAAATTTGGTACTAAAAGTAAATATTCGATAAAATATTTTTTTGTAATTCTTTCGGTAAGAAAAAATGACAAAGATGTCAAAACAGAGAAAATTTAGCCCGACAGAGTTTCCTCACTAAAAAATAATTTAAAAATATCTTTTGATAAATTTATTTTAAGAGTTTCTTCAGAAATCTTCAAATATTTCGAAAATTTTACTTTTTCTTTAAAATATCTGCATATGTTTTGAGGACACATTTCATAGTCATTTTTTAATTTTCAGGATAATTTGCCTTTAAAACGTCTGCAAATTAGTCGTAGACATTTCATAGTCACTTTGAAGACAATATAATACGACTGATTATATTAAAATTGAACTAATTTCTCGTTATTGAAGCTACTATAGCTCAATTATATCACTATTGCTACTATAGCAGCAAGATCATTACCATTTAAGTTAAACCCAGAATTTCATGACAATGCATGAAATATATTTATGAATGTGGGAGACAGTCCACATCCTCTATCACTCTATTTTCAATGATCTGGCTACTATATCATATTATTAAAATATTTCTAAATCATTAATTTTTTATTTTTATTTTCTGTCCATTTAATGTTTTATCTTTAACCGTATCTCTTTGGTGTGGCAGATTGTCTCTATCGGATTAAATCATATCTGTCCTACTTGTACCATTTGTGAAACGCGTTTCATGAGAAATGTTACAATTGGGGAATTGAAAGATTATTTTCTGTGATTTCAGGTCCTCTGATGAAAGAAAGCAGTCTTCCATTGGGAGAAAAACAATTTCCTTTACACATGTATCTACCACCTGTTCGTAAAGACAACAGTGAATCCAGTGATACAGACAAGAAAGGTGAAAGCATCATCACCTGTCAGAGTACGTCCTCCCTGCTGTTGACTTCAAAGTCAACTCAATACCCATCAATACATAAACAGCATCGATCATATCTATTTTAGTCATAAATACAGTGAAAGCAATTTTAAAAAATATACCAAAGCAAAAAATATATAAAATATAAAAAAATATATAAAAGCAATTTGAAAAAATATTCCATATATATAAACACAAAGAAGAATAATAAAATAAAATGAAATAGAAAAACCTTTAATGAGAAAACGTAAAGGTCTTCATCACGACACATCCTTTACAATATATGCTATATTTCTGAATAAAGAACAATTATCCTAAGATAAAAATTACTCTTTTATGATGCTTCTATATTGGTGAGAAATAAAATTGCAATTGAAAATAAGTATGAAATAAAAGAAAACAGAAAACAAACTTACCGGCGTGTAGCAAAAGTAAAAAATGTTTTAAAAATATACTAATTTAACAGTTAACAAAACTTTGCAAAGAAGCAACAATAAAAAACAGTGCTTATAGCTTAAATCGTACAAAATAATTATATTTGATAATATAATAAGATATAATAATAATAGATTTGGTAGGAAAAATATGAAGCAAATAACATTCAGTGTATATATA